TACTCTAATAAATTTAGCACAAGCTGTTAATACAATTATATTTTGAAGATTTATAACAGGACAACTCGATTTGCATGCCGACGTCAAGTAAGTTGTCACTCTGACAAATATGATTGAAGAGCACTCATACGTAACGACAAAGTTTTCTAGAGGAGACACAGAACTACAAAACGTATGTCTTTGAGACTACCAAACAAACGTTCACACACAGGGGTAGGTTGCATGTGTATGTATGAGGAAGATGGAGATATATAAAGGGATACTACTGGTAGTCTTACCCGCCGAGAACGGTGAGTACAACTACAGAACAATAAAAAAAGCATGTCAAGTCAAGCATTAACGTTTCAAGTAATTTTATTTTCAAGACAAGTAGTTTCTGAAACGGGCCGAAGCTAAGAGCGACAATGCACCGGGTACGGTCTCTCAGCCTTAAATGCACACATACACATTATATGAGAAATGCCGACATATACAGGCTGTTTCAGTTTATTGTTGCATAACTTTAAGATTCGATAGAACTTTTAAAATTAATGCATAAAGCCTATATAACCATGGGTCGAAAAATTCGTGGCTTCCGAAATACAGGGTGTTTAAATTTACTTTCTAAAATAGTTTTTTTTAAATATTTCGAACAATATTTGATGTATAATAGTGAATATTGGTATACAAGGGTTATTTGGTATGACAAAACGAACCATGGGCATAGTTTTACTGTAGCCGCTAGAGGGCGCTTTCTACCGTACCTGTGGTGTATTAAAATGACCGAAAAATTTTTCTTAGTGTAATTTTTTGCTTTTTGAATAAAAAAACTGATTCCTCGCGCTTTTCAACATAAAAGGGCTCTCTTGTAAATTTTCGTTATAGTTAGCCGTTTTTGAGATACTTCTATTTTTAAGGTTCGATGCATTTTTATGATAAAATAACGTTAAAAAGTCAGTATCTCGATAATTTTTAGAAGTAGGCTGTGCCTGCAAATATTTTTGAAATTGAAAGCAGAATAAGGTTAAACGTCAATTAGTTGACAGTTTGTTTTGTTGTCTGTTGAAACCTGAAACGTTTTTTTGCAATTGTGAATGCACGAAATTTAGTTTCTTTTACCTGTTTTTTTTTTGTAAGTTCTATAAAAATGCCATTTTTATTCTCCAATCAAGAGTTAGCGAATATTCATTTTGTGTATGTGTGTGCTTCACCAGACGTGGAGTGGTAAATTTTCATAATCAACATATTTGGTCGCATGAAAATCCGCATGCAGTTCGGGAAAGAAATTTTCAGGATGAATTTAGTGTGAACGTGTGGATTGGTATCTACCGTCTATTTGAACCCTACCTTTTGCCTGCAAGGTTAAATGCTGCGACCTTCTTGGAATTTTTAAAGGCTGAACATGCAAATATGTGGGATGATGTTATGTTAGATTTAAGAAGATTAGCCTGGTTCCAGATGGTTGGACGAAAATTATCCAGAAAGATGGATCGGCCGTGGAGGACCAGTCGCCTGGCCTCCACGATCCCCTGACCTAAATCCATTAGATTTCTTTGTGTGGGGATTTCTAAAATAAAAAGTGTACCAGACTCCCGTAAACACAATAGATATGCTAACAGACAGAATCAGGAATGCATGTGATGAAATAAGGCCTTATTTGAATAATGCTATACCACGTTCGATCATTCGTAGATGTGAATTGTGTATTGAACAATTGGGTTTACATTACGAGCAACTACTTTAGATTTTGTTTGTCCTAACTATCCAATAGCATTTTAGTTGTAAATAGTTAATTTAATTTGTTAAAAATAATATTGGAAAATTAAACAAATTAATATTCTGTTTTTATGTGTTTATTTGGAGTTTGGAATTATTGCTGTGCTTAAAAACACAATCTAAACGATCATCTTAATTACTTGTAATGCCCAAATCGAAAATGTAGAAAAAATATTATTTTCCCATAAATAATTAAAAATGCATCGAACCTTAAAAATCAAAATATCTCAAAAACGGCTAACTATAACGAAAACTCACAGGAGAGCTTTTTTATGTTGAAAAGTGCGAAGAATCAGTTTTTTTATTCAAAAAGCAAAAAATTGCACTAAGAAAAAAGTTTCGGTGATTTTAATACACTACAGGTACAGTAGAGAGCGCCCTCTAGCGACTACAGTAAAACTATGCCCATGGTTCGTTTTGTCGTACCAAAAAACCCTTGTATACCAATTTTCACTGTTATACATCAAATATTGTTCGAAATATTTAAAAAAAAACCTATTTTAGAAAGTAAATTTAAACACCCTGTATTTCGGAAGCCACGCATTTTTCGACCCATGTTTATATAGACTTTATGCATTAATTTTAAAAGTTCTATCGAATCTTAAAGTTGTGCAACAATAAACTGAAACACCCTGTATATGTATATATGAGAAATGGTTCCTCGCACAGGATAATCAAACGTCGACAATGTCCAACTCTTTGCTACCGGTAGAGCTATAAGCATTTGATAACGGGCATAATTCTAGAGCAATTTTTCTTGTTGCCGGCGATAATGCCCCCTGTGGGCGCTGGGGACCTATGGAGCATTAGTAAGTCACGTGGAAATTGATTTAGGGGAGGGGGATAATGCAATGGCTAATTTGTGTTTTTGTACTTGAAACTAGCATCGAAACTTACCTACACTAATACATCGGGGACCGCAAGATGAAATAAGTTCAAGAAACTATGATCTTAGAGATTATACTGCACGTCATGATGCATCACACCACCTTCGTTGCTTGTTTAAAAAAAATCTGGCAGAGTGGAAAAGGTCGATATCTAGATATGCCGCGGAATAATCGAAATTTGCGCTATGAATGGAGTTGTGATGATAACGAAGCGCTACTCCAATTATTGAACTCTTTGGATCAATTTTTGACCCGCATTATTACTAGAGACTGGAGGCGAAGAACAGGGATGTCTATGAAGAATTTACAAGTCGTGGCGTGGACCCCAGAAGTCTCGGTGCCAAAATCCAATTTGAACTCGCGGTCTGTGTAGATGGTGAGTTTGTAAATGCATTGTTCTTTCTTCGGCAGGATGAGACAGTGTCTGAGGAGTCTTTGCTCGCCACAATGTTCATCGTAGGGCAGAAGGAACGTCCATAATCAGCAAAGACGACGACACACGTCTACAGCCACAAAACAAATAATACATAATAATTTATTAAATTGTTTGAATGAATATCTAAAGTATGGCTGTTTCAAGTTGCTTTTGCTACAGCCAATACAACCTTAACAAATTATTGAAAAACTATCTGACGTTTATAATGAGACCTTTTGGAAAAAAAAGAGCACATCGTTCGAGCCGGTTGTAGCGTTTAATATAATATATATTATCTTTTGTAAACATAATAAAACAAGTTTGTATTCTTTCATTTGATTCTGTCAAATTATTTTCTGTCAGTACAAAATAACATATTATCAATGATCAAAAAATTCTTCTTTTTTTTCCAAAATTTTTCAGTTGCATACCAGCATCACTACAAGTAACATCAAAAAAGTTTTAAAAAGGAAATCAAAACATGGATTTTACAATAGCCAATGAGTTTCATAAAATTTAAGACGTAAAAAATCAACAGTGAATTTGAAGCAATATATCACTATTTGCACATATATACATACATCAGTAAAGCAAAATTTAACATAATAGCCTGGAATAAACTTCCTGATACTTTAATCTATTCATTTTTATTTTTTATGCATCTACACTACTCAAAAGAATTAAAGGAGCAAGAAAAAAATCCAAATTTTTCGGTGGTATTTGCCAGGCTGTTTTTGTTAGGTCATATGGATCAGATAGCTCTGTTTTTTCAACTTCAATACGCTGTTTTTAAAATCTTGATATAGTCATTTGGTGCGGAGATATCTGACTCTGAATGAAAATGGATCTTTTTGTCATCGACCACTAATATCTCGCTAATCAGTTATCGCATAAAGAATAGAATGCCGAATTCCGAAAACTGGAATAAATCCCCTATAAGATTTAATTGTAATATTTAATGTTTTTTTTTGTTCATTTACTATTGATTTTAAAAAGTGTCAAAAGGTTACCCTTTGCATTGTTTTAGAAAATCTACCGCATTTTGAGAAGCCTAATGTTTTTAGTTTTTTTTTACTTCAATGTACCCCTAATAACAATGCACGGCAGCAGATCGATCCATTGTATGGTTTCTCCGGCCCGATGCCGATGCATAGGGCTTATTAGGGGTACATTGAGGGATGAAAAAACCTAAAAACATTAGTCTTGTCATTAGCAGTTCCAAAAATGAGGTAAATTTTCCAAAAGTAGGCAAAGCTTTTTTAAAATCAAAACTAAAACTAACTAAAAAGATTGCAATCAAATCTTATAGGATATAAAATCCCTTACGCTCTGTGCGCTCACCGGTTTACGATGTATCAGTGGTCGATGACAAAGAGATCCTTTTTCATTCAAAGTCAGATATCTCCGCTCCAAATGATAGGATCGGGATTTTAAAAACAGGATATTGAAGCTGATCAGATAAAATGTTTTGTGCTATCTGGTAGAACTGCATGAGAACAGTTGCTCCTGAAATTTTTCTGCTAAAAAACCTAAAAAATTAATTTTTCTAAATGTTTCAAATGGTGTTTTAAGTCCAGGTACGACCATTTTTCCCCGAAATATAGCCTGTCGAAAATCACCGATAAATTTAGATTTTTTTCGTGCTCCTTAATTTTTGTGAGTAGTGTATTTATAAGTGAGTACATGCTTATGCTTCTTTGGGTGTATAAATAACGATCTTTGTACGTCATGCCAATAAACATTATTATTATTCTTATTATCTTAATAAGAGGTTGTTTCTTCAAGTGTTGACTGTCCTTACCCATAGTTAAACTACTGAAAATTCACCTTATAACACGTGTAGCATATTTATGACGAAATTAAACTCCCAAACATCCCAAATATTTCCTACTTATCGTACAAATTCCACGAAATAATCACTATTTTGCCTTTATGTTTTACAGTCAGGACTTCAGCCACGAAAAGCGCTCGACCTGTTTTACCGTCGACTTTAAAAGCAGAGTAGACAGTACAACATCGCGAACATCCACAGCTATAGGCAGGTTTGTACAGTCTCAATGATGAATTGTTGGTTTTTAATTAGCACATCTTTTTGTTTACATAGATACTTCATGTAGGATATCTCTGATTAGCTTGTATTATCCATCACTTTTTTCGTGTTGTCACCAGATAGGGTCGTCAGGTTCATATTTTCACAGCATGCTTCATATTCGGACTTAATGCTTTGCTTCTTAGAAAATCCAAAAACACGTCACTAGTTACTCTTTCTGGTACGGTTTTATGCACTATATGTCCAATTAACTCGTGTTTTTTTGTTTGATTTGTAGAAGGACTTGAGATGAATGTTGAGAAAATGGAAGCCCTTCTTTTTGTACAGGGAATAGAAATTATTACTATCAGCAAAAAATGTCATCACCACTGCTCGGCTAGCCTAGTGTAGTCCTCTTAATTTATATCTCGGAACCCGGGAAAACTGGACAGACTTTCGAGATTTATAGTGTAGCGCGTTTAAAATACTGACACAAAAGTCTACAGGGAAAACCAACTTTATCTGACGGCTTGAGTTCAATGTGTACGAGAGAGAACCGCGAGAAATGTGTATCAACCCATGCTAGAAAGATATAGAAGCCGGCTGAAGAGTCATTACCACATTGCAACGGTGACGCAGAAGGTCGTGCAATCTGATGCGTTGCCAATATGTTACACTAGAAAATGTTCGCACAGGCTTCTACAATAGGTTACTGTCCAACTCAAGAAGGGAGACTGTCCGAACATTTTTAATTTAATAGGTTAAACAAGATGCTTTCATCTGTCCCACCAAGAAAAGAAAACAGCCAACCATGGACAGCTGCAGCTTCTTAGCTATTCATCAGCATGGTATAGGCTTGGTCTCTTATCTCTGGATGAGCAAACGAAAGCATCACAGTGATCCTTCATACCGGAGGTACGGTTTATCAGCATGAGATCTATTGCACCAGAATCGAACCATTGTGGATCGCGCGCCGTTGCTATTAGTCCGAACTGTCATGGATTTCAGTTCCCGTTTAATAGCCGTGCCGCTAGATGACTGATGATTCTGGCTGAATGTAGAAGTGGTCTACTTGCCATTGAACGGGTTAAACAAGATGCTTTCGTCCGTCCGCCAGTCAACCATAGCCAGCTGTTTCGTGCTTCTTAGCTACTCATCAGCATGGCATAGGCTTGGCCTCTTATTTCTGGCTGAACTACCTCATGCTGATAAACCGTACCTCCAGTATAAAGGATCATTGTGATGCTTTTGTTTGTTTGCTACTACACACTAGGCGTATTTCTTATCGGGTTACATCCATCAATTATCTGATCTCTCTCCTCCTCTCTTCTCCAAAAGTAAATGCTTACATCTAAGTTTGTATTGGTTTTGTTCATAAGAATAATAAATAAAACAATACATTAATGCTATTTTTCTTCTCAAAAGCGTACCAACAACCTTTGGAGAAACAATTGGAGAAAAAGATAATTCTGCAAAACCAGCTGACGAACAGGATCAATATGACTCGCCAAAAGAAAAACAATGCTTGCACATGTACAGGAAAATGACTGCTAAAGGCATCAATGTATCCTTTGACACCATTTTAAGGGGAATGTTGACTCCTACTGAGTATAGACTTAGTAAAAAGAAAATGGAGGCCATTAGGAGTGAAGCTCATGCTAAAGAAGAAAACAAAAGGGATGATGATAAGAGTTAGATAAGTAGTACCTTAGGACATTTTTTATAGTTTGGATGATTATATGTAAAGAAATATAGCTCTTCTGGATGTTGTCAATTACTATTCCATTCCTATATCCCTTTGGTCCATGTAAACGGAATAATGCAGCAATCAAGGTAACTACTATTCAAAACAGGTTGGATCAAGGACACATACCAAAAGTATTTTATAACTCTTTCTCAGCACTGCAATAACATAAATTGCAAAAATTTGATTTCAAAAAGACATTTAATGGAAACATGCAACCCAAGGTTGCAATGAATTTAAAGAGGAACTGCCAATAAAACTGTTTTGTTTCTCCATAGCTAATTTACTAAATTTCAACAGTTTGCAACATTGTGAGGACTAAAGCCAGGGGTAGCCTCCACTAGGCCCTCAAGTACATGGCCCTAGGGGACCCAGAGTAGAGAAAATGTTAACAAATCATCAGCCTTCCCACCCTTAAGGCTACTATACAATATAAAACATTGGAGTTTTTTCCCCAGAATACCCTAGGCACTAGTAGGAATTAAATTAATTATGTGTTTGGGAAATATACTTTAACAGAAACTGCCGCTCAGCAGAGCAGTGAAAATTAATTTAAAGTTTAGCATACAGAAGAACAAAAATATGGGCGCCCGCAAGAAAGCAGGCAGGATGGGCCATGAGCCCAGACAATCTGGTTGGCCCTCAAAATTACATATTTACTTAGTGTGGTTTTGTGAACAATACAGGGAATTTTCTTCGCTCTTTAAGAAGTTTTGAGGGCTAGTACAAATTCTCACAAAAAAGATCCCTCATGATCGACCCCTGAGAAAAATGTCTGTGGGCACACATGAATAAAAAGCTAACAGCCATGTCTCAAAACAAAGTATGTATAATTTTATCAAAAGTTGCATGGCCTCTTTCAGATCGCTATATTTTAAGACTAGTTTTTGCATGAAAACTGAAAAATATAGGTAAGTATAAAAAGGTAAACATACCCGTATTGCAAGGATGAAAGTTCGATTCTTCTGGGGTCTACGACACTACTAGTTATATACGTAAATAAAATAGCAATCAAGGAATGGACTAGTCATTCAACAGTCAGCTAAGAGAAATGAAACACATATGCAGTGTCTACTAGCCACTGCTGATTGCACACGTAAGATGAAATTCGAACATAGTTTATATTTACATAATCATGTATTACTCATCGACATATCAAAGGTTATGGACCTGCCGTTCGCGTTTGGAATTGACGCCGGCGCAGTGCAAGAGAGACAGCACGTGAAGGATAGAGCTAACGCGGGCAAACGTCGTACGTTAGATCTGTATTGTGCATGTGTTTCTTTCACTGTGGAAAGCTTTACACATATTTTTGCCTTGAAATTAGTTTTAATTGTTCATTTTTCACAACTTCAAACCAATTACAAGATGGTGCAGTCTTGTTGTGCTATAAACTGTACGACCAGAAGAGAAAAAGGGGTGAAATTAAAATTTCTGAGGTAGGTTATGGCCAGTGGTTATGGCAAAGATTACAGAATTAAATAACAGAAACTTTGGTCATGAAAAGGCTATAACTAGAGTTTTCTACTTTCAGTATACCCAAGGAACCCGCAACGAGGAAACAGTGGTTAGTTGCCATAAGAAGGGAGAATTTTAATCCGAGTGATAGGACAGTTATATGCGAAAATCACTTTACAAAGGACGATTTTGAGCTGAATGTACATGGAAATACAGTTCTCAAGAAAACTGCAGTGCCTTCTGTTTTTAATTTCCCCGTACATTTACAGCAAAAAGTAGTAATAAGGAGACCTTTAAAACGAAAGATATCTGATAACAAAGGTTAGCACTTCAGTACTTAAGTAATGACTGAACCGTCTATTGATTAATATTATTTACAGAACATGGTGCTATTGCCAGTACATCAGGCATAAATACTGAACCAGTATTAGGAGTTATGTCAAGTGAATCTGTCAGTGCTGAAAATGAGGATATAGATTCTGAGCAACCTACTACTACATCTCAAATGGAATTCCCTAAAAGGTAACAGGATAACAGTTATTGCTATTTATTTTCTATCTACTTGCTTACCTAAGCATTTATTAAATGAATTTACAGATCAGAAATTAGTTTCTTTCATTATGTGTTAAATGTTTCTTATTGTTTTAGAAGACGGAGAGATCCAATTTTCTTTGGGGACTTCAAAGAAAGTGATTTAGATGATGTGCAGAAGAGAAAATGATTTTGGAAGGTACTATACTATAGCAAAGTCTAGGAGAAATATCAGGTATTATCAGTGCATAGCCAGAAGACAAAAGAAGAAGATAAAAAGCCTTAATTTATTGTTGGACGAATTGATGGAAAAAGAGAAAATTTCATCACAGCAGCTCATGGTATTGAAGGTAAACTATTTATTTTTTTGCATCACACATAGTTGGTTTGTTTGTTTTCTGTAAATACTTAGTAGTTTGCATCTTGTTCTTAATGTTCAACTGCTGCACAATAAAATCCTTTGATCAGTAGAATAATTACTTGCTCATGGGAAGAATGCGAGGCACATACACACATATGTATAGTTGATTGTATAGTATGTATGTATGCTCCATGAAAAAAGCAGCGCACTAACAGGCTCCATTACCATTGTTTAAGCAAGGTTCTTTTTTATATTTCTAGGAAAGTATTCCTGAAGTACAAAAAGCCATACTGTTTAGGCACCTCAAAAAGGGCATCAAAGGAGGAAAATATAGCCCTCAACTGAGATGCTTTGCTTTAACATTAAATTTTTATTCTTCTTCTGCATATCAGTATGTTAGAAAAGTGTTTGGCAAAAATTCTCTCCCGCATCCTAGAACACTAACAAAATGGTATTCTACTGTAGATGGTACACCAGGGTTTAGTGCAGAAGCAATACGGGCTGTCAAAATGAAAGTTGACATTGAAAAAGGAAAAGGAAAGCAACTTATAGCAGGTCTTGTGATTGACGAGATGTCCATTCGTGAGCATGTACATTGGACTGGTAGTAGGAATGTTGGATACATTGATTATGGAACTGGTATGCAGAATAGTGACCAATTACCACATGCAAAACATGTATTTGTGATAATGCTTGTAGGTTACAATACAAGGTGGAAGGTTCCCATTGCCTATTTTTTAGTAGATGCTTTATCTGCTGAAGAAAAGGCAATGTTAATTAAAGGGTCTTTCCTTCAGTTGGAAACAACTGGGGTGCTGATTAAAAGTATCACATTTGATGGGTGTGCATCCAACATTTCGATGGCAAATTTGCTGGGAGCAAAGCTCAGTTTTCCTGGAATGAAACCATATTTCATAAACCCAGTGAATAAGGAAAAAGTACATATCATTTTGGACGCATGCCACATGATTAAATTAGTACGTAATACTTTGGGTGATTGGGGCATATTATGTGATGGAAATGGAGACTCCATTAAATGGTATTATTTTAAAGAACTGGTGAAGCTGCAAGAGGAATCAGGGCTTCATTGTGCCACTAGACTAAGGTCTCGACATATTAACTATTACAAAGAAAAAATGAAAGTGAAGCTTGCTGTCCAGACCTTTAGTGCTAGTGTTGGTGATGCCCTAGAATACTGTAATCAGGACTTGAATATTACAAAATTTAGAGGTAGTGAAGCAACTGTTTCTTTCTGTCGAAAAATTAACAATATTTTTGACGTTTTAAATGTTAGAAATTTCTATGGGAAAACTCCTTGTAAAAGGCCTCTTTTCAAGGGAAACAGCGAAACCTTCAAAAATTTTATCAAAGAATCTGTAGAATATTTAAGTTCATTGACAGATCAAAAGCACGATAAAGTAATAGAAACAGGCAGGAAAACTGGTTTTCTAGGACTCATTGTTTGTTTGTTAAGTGTTAGGAATTTATTTGAAGATGTGGTTGAGGGTGATAAGTTACAGTTTTTATTAACTTATAAGCTAAGTCAAGATCATCTTGAAATGTTTTTTTCAGCAATCCGTTCAAGGGGAGGCTTTTCGAACAACCCGACTGCCTGGCATTTCGAAAATGCATATAAAAGACTCTTAATTCATAGTGAAATAACTACCTCAGATAGTGCAAATTGTCTGGCACAGGACAATACCTCGATTTTAAATGTTACCATTGAAAGCAAAAATAACTCAATTTTTACTACTGACTTATTATATGAACAGACAGAATCTTCAGATGCGGAAGATGAGTTATTCATTAAAAACTGTAACACAATTGCCAACTGCACATATATTTGTGACATTGTTGAGTATATTGCTGGGTTTATCAGCAAGAAATTAGTTAAAGCATTAAATTGTAATGAATGTGCTAATGCTTTAACTTCGGACAATTCTTTGTCGCTGCTTTTAAATAAAAAAAATCGAGGAGGTCTCTGTAAGCCATCCAGAGATGTTGTGAAAGTGTGCATATGTGCAGAAGGCTTAATCAAATCAGAATCAAACTTTTCTGCTCTAAACCTTATGCTAAAATTGATATCTTTGTCGATAAGGAAACTCAATTTCGACACACTATTCATTGGCTTGAAAAGTCATTTCCAGGATCAGGATCCATTACAGAGCCATTGCCTGCAATTAATTAGGCTTATATTAAAAAATTACTTTTCAATTAGAATACACCACATCAACACTACAAAAAATGAACCGCGTTATAGAATAAGGCAACATCTGACCAAAACTATCACCTTTAGCCATCAATAATTCTTTTTTTTTATATAGAATAACTTTTTGTAATATCAATAATTATCATTAAGAATTTTTCATACTGTATTCTGTAGATTAAGGTTTTTGTTTTGTAAGTACGTGAATAAAAATTAATATTATATATATTATCGTTTTTTTATCGAGTAGAAGTATTAAAATCCCATTCCCTTTGCCTAAATCTATTTTTATAAAGATATCATAACTTTAAAACCATCCAAATCCTGTTAAGCGCGCGGCTTTTTGCCCGCGTTAGCTCCGTCTCTCTCTCGGATGTTTCTTTCTAACGTTGGCTGCAAGCAGCTGTACGTACAAGGATAGGTACGGGCGGGTCCATAACCTTTAACATGTCAATGGTATTACTAATCAAATTCAAGCGGATAACCAAATGGAAATGGTTTGGTTTGGTATTTACCAATCCGTTCAAGCGAGTGTAGTTATCAGTTTGGTTATAAGATCCGTGACGTCACGAATCAGCTGTTATATGTCATAGTTATCACCGCAAAATTGTGGTATTTACCCAACTCAAGAGTAGTTTTATATTTCTGGTTATTATTTGAAATGTGACAAGTTAGAATTTTGCCGGGTATTGGATATTGTTATTGTACTTCAGCTTCATTTTTGAGAAAAATGATACAGGCTGACTTCAGTTTTACCATATTTACCTTATTAGTTATACTCATTACGGTTGTTGGGGACACTTTAAATGTAGTTCCTATGCTTAACAAAGTATCCTGTGTAGCCATATACCACAAGAATATTAAAATATGGCCATATAAACTCACTAGATGATATCCACCTGTATACGGTTTTGCTAATTTCTTTTTTCATCATTTCTGCTGAATCAATAAATGTTTTCTTTGACATGCGGAAAAATTTAGAGAATTGAAAGTTATCATGGCTACAAAACCATGGTTCCATCATTAAAAAAAAATCTGAAAAAAACATTTCTCCCATGAATATTATGAAAGGTTTCTTATTTAAACTTTCCATATACAGTTGTAGACGAAAAAGCACCGATTATTAAGTGATAATGAAAATAATCAGAGATTATATACGCGCTTTTCTAAAATAAACAACTTGCAACAAAACCGCGGTTAAAACCAACGCGTTCAAGCGATTCGTGTAACTGACGTCATCAACCCGTGTGTCATCTTGAACCATATTATAACCGCGGTACATAACACAGAAATTTTGGTTATTCGCTTGGATTTGATTACTGTTATTACACAAAACATATACACTGTATTACTCAGTAGTGCCATTCATAATGTCATTCTTCAAAAAGGCAGAAAAAACCCAGAATGCCGAGATGCTTGTTCTGTAAATCTCACAGAACATGTAGATCCCAGTGCACATCACAGAGCAGAAAAATAACGGATGACGGAAAAAGAAACGAAAGGAAATTTATAGTATTTGCTGAAAAAATCAACACAGAAACGTTTCTAGTATACATCATAGTACACCAAGAAACAAACAGTCTAGCAGTAATTCATTCTACCATCAAAGTATTACGTTATAATCTGTGGTAATACATCCAAATCATTAGTATAAAGCAAAGAACGTCGCCTTAATTTTGGGCAAATCGGGATGATGACGTCAGTTACTCGAATCGCTTGAACGCGTTGGTTTTAACCGCAATTTGTTTGATGTTGTTTATTTTAGAAAAGCGCGTATACAATTTCAGATTATTTTTATTATCACTTAATAATCGGTGCTTTTTCGCCTACAACGGGGTATGGAAAGTTGAAAAAAAGAAAACTTTCATAATATTAATGAGAGGAATGTTTTTTTTTCAGAAAAAAATTTTTACTGATGGAACCATGGCGTTGTAGCTATGATAACTTTCAATTCTCTAAACTTTTCCGCATGTCAAAGAAAATATTTATTGATTTAGCAGAAATGATGAAAAAGCGATGAAAAAAAGATATTGACAAAACCGTATACAGGTGGACATCATCCAGTGAGTTTATATGGCCATATTTTAATATTCTTGTACTATATGGCTATACAGGATATTTTGCTAAGCGTATGAACTAGATTTAAAGTGTCCCCAACAGTAATGATTATAACTAATAAGGTGCTCTCTTATGCTAAAACTGAAGTCAGCCTGTATCAAGTTTTCCAAAAATGAAGCTGAAGTACAATAAAGATATCCAATACCCGGCAAAATTCTAACTTGTCACATGTCAAATAATAACCTGAAATATAAAACTACTCCTGAGTTGGGTAAATACCACAATTTTGCGGTGATAACTATGACATATAACAGCTGATTCATGACGTCACGGATCTTATAACCAAACTGATAACCACACTCGCTTGAACGGATCGGTAAATACCAATCCAAAATGGTAAATACCATTTTCATTTGGTTATCCGCTTGAATTTGATTCATAAAGCACAGAACAGAATGACATACCCCATGTTTCTTGTCTGTCTAACAATGTCAATAAAAATTACCACATAACCCAACTTCTGACTGTGCTATTGCTATCCATTTCGTTGGGTGCTGGGAGGTATTTTCATTAATTGCACAAGAAATATCATGTTGAAAAGACCGGAAAGATTTATAATAAAGTGTGCTCAACTACACAATTCTTACATTCAGTCCTTGCACACTACAGTATGCCTGAGCTCGCAGGAAAGGCTACAGAGCTTTAGGACAAATGAGGAGAATCCATTGAATCATAATGAGAGCAACACAGCCCAATTTTATAAATTACTTGAGAGTGATAAAGCCAAACTATTTGTGCATGGAGGCCTTCCAAAATCATTTGAAACACAGGCAAAAACCTTCAATGAAACATGCTTGATGATACGGCAGCCAGCTTTAGATGTCATTAATTGTATGAAAAACATTGATTATAACAAGCCTGCTGTCAGATTTGTTCTTTATGGCAAAAAGGGCACTGGAAAGTCTCTGGCCATGGCACACATTCTTCACTATGCTTTTAAACAAGATTTTCTAATCGTGCATGTCCCTTGGGTTGGAAACTGGATGAGAAGGTGTAAGGAACAGAGCAATTCAGAATCCAAAGAAGGATATATAGACATTAATTTGGATGCAGCAGGCTGGTTGTTACATTTCAAAACACAAAATGCACATATATTATCAAAACCAAAACTAAAAACAAGCAGAGATCATGTTTGGAGTAAACGAGAGACAACACCAAAAGATTCACCTCTATTAGAGCTCATAGAACATGGAATTGCTAGAATTAAATATGCTTCAGAGACAGTAAATGCAATTTGTGAGGAAATAAAGATATTGAGTAACGACGGCAAATGTAGGACCATAGTAGCTATTGATGGATATAATGCATTCTTTTATCGAATTACAAGAGTATTTACTGTGAAAAAGGAACCTGTTCTTCCTGAAAAGGTGACACTGACTGAAGGTTTTTTGAATCTGACTAAATTTGATTGGAAAAATGGTGTAATTATAGTTACTGTAGATGAAATTGCCATTGCTGAAAAGGATCAGATTTCACATTTACCTAGGTAAAGAGTATATCATAGTGGATATGAATGTATATAACTGTTTTTTTATTTAGGTATTTATTGGGGAAACAAGGTTTTGAACACCTAGACCCATTTGTGCCCATTCTGGTATCAAACTACACAAAGAAGGAAGTCCTCAGTTGTTTAGATTATTATAAGGAAAGAAAATGGATCCAGCCCTATCCAGGATTAGAAAATGAGGTTGAATTTGTGTCTGCTTCTAATCCTTATAAATTGATGAAAATATGTGCATCTTTGTAGATTCGCAGTGTTATTGTATTGTTTTTATTATTAAATAAATGATAAAGTAATTATTTGTAACTTCTTTTGCAACCAGGTTACAGCTTATTCCTCTAAAAAACACTTTTGGGATATGTTCACAAACAGTTGCTTTCCTACTCCTAAGTGTTTTTAAAATTTTGGTTATGGCATGTAAACTATAGTCAATGAGGTTTCAATACAGGGTTTGAAAGTTAGGTGTAGATTCAAATTAATTTTTCTTTGATACTAATTTCTGTAGTGTAGGGCTCTAAAATCTAATAAACTTACAGATTTTTAAAAATTTGGAATCCAAATTTTTTGTAATATGCTTCTGTAAAGCCCACCATTATAAAGATTGGAAGTTATTTTGATTACAAATATTTATTAAATATATATATCAGTAACAATAAGTTATTTGACAAACCATAATAGGTAAAATGCAAACATGTTATTCTTCATCATCAGTTTCTAGATGAATATGATTTCCAAATTTTCCATATAGGCAAATCTTCAGTTCAGCCATCATGTCTTTCACACCACTTGCTTTATCTTTGAGCTCCTTTATTTCATTTTCCAGATTTTTCTTGGCTTCAGCTAAAGAACTCTGCAACAGAAAGTAAATCAGTACACCAGTTTCTAACTAAAATGGACTTAGGACATATGAAATCGAGTTCAATACTTACTTGGGTGTTTTCTACATTTTGATAAATAAAAACTTCTCCCACAAGGTATGGAATTTGCTCATCATCATCAAATAGCTCTATTTCTTCAGAAGCTTCTTCAATACTCTGAAGATCATTCTATGAAAGGAAAGAACAGTTGAGAAAATCTTTGCCATTTCCTTTCAAATTATCCAAATGCAAACGTCTAGAACCTCTATTATGACTATAAAAATGTAATATATACCTCTCTTGATTTGATTTCATCCTTGTAGTCTTCCAATTTAGCATTTAATCTTGCGAACCTATTGATCTTTTGCTGGTCTTCATAGGTAATGTGAACATCTGAGTCCTAAAAATAGGATAATTACCTTGTTTGTCTAAAATGGAATAAGTCATGGTTACTGAATTAAACGGTGGCTTTAAACCACCTTTTGAACCAGTTGCTGCCATTATAATGCAAAGCTATATACTAAAATTTTATATTAATAACTATATTAAACCTCTCAAACCACAAAAGGTTTCAAACACAACTTGAGAATTTAAGGTTATCAGCAGTGTTGCCAGACCCAAAATTGAAAATTCCGCTACTGGTAGCGCAAAACTCCGCTACCCCGCGGATTATCGACGGGGGGCGGTTGGTTGGCGCACTATCATAAAACAGGTGGGCACTTATTATACAGGTTGTGTCAAAAAAGAAAAACCAAACAGCATGGTAAAATATAACACAAAACTGTAATAAAAAACATTTGACTTTAAAAACCAATACAATATTACAAAAAACTGTCAAACAACAGAACATTTATCACGCAGTCATGTTAAAAAAATATCACAGGAAACTAAAAATTAAAAAGCATATGACTAAAGGCCATTTCTATTTTGCATAAAAAATTGTGTTTTGGTTTTTGAGTTACTTAAACTTAGTCACTGTATGTATCAGATTCTTCTTGTTGCATTTCCGTTCTCTCTATACTATATAAATTATGTTTGTATTTTAAAAATGTTTTTCACTAAACTCGAAGTCGCAGCAACACTTTTTTGTATTGTATCCAATTTGATAAGTATCGCGAACAAAGCGGAAGGTAAAATACGATTCCTTTTCTTTGTTTTGATTATCTCCATATACAGGTATGAGAATGTCCACTCGACATCTGCATTACCATGTGACAAATGTTAAAATTATTAGACATACTTTGGAAATTCACTTCACAGGTTGTGTTCTTACCACATCTTAGCACCTACTACCATCTATACGCGTCTTCGACCGGTGGTTACCACTGTCGATTCGGAAGATACCTGTATTTAGATTTGGTTAACTGCACTCATTTTTTTTTCTGGTAAAAATATCCATCATGTGTACCTAAATTGCAAAATGCAGCTACTTTTAACAAAAAATCCAATTCCGCCGCTACCAGTAGCGGAATTCCGCTACTCCTGACAACACTGGTTATCAGCGAACGCGAACGAGCGAAATGTCACTCGTAACTGACAATCACAGAACAACAGAAACAGAAGTCAACCAACAACATTTCCCAACATGATTTGCGACATCGCCAAGTAGTCATTTTTTCAGGAAATTACATGGTGATTGTTAATCTTTTCGGAAAGGGTATGTCATGTAACTCTTGGTTAAAGTATTGTAGGTGTAGGTCTGTAGATATGTTAGGTCTCGTCACCCAGATACCAGGTCAGGGAGAAAGAAGGGAAAAAGAAACAACGGAAGGAAGGGAAAACACAAAGAGGAGGAAATGCGTCAGTTGAAGAGGTGCCTTGGCATTTTGAACTAGTATTTGGTAATTTTGAATTGATATAAAAATTAATTTAAAAATTTGTAGATATGTAGAAAATTGGATCGTCATCTTGTTGTGCGTTGTGGTTGCACGACTTCGTTCGGTTTGCGGTGATGTTCGTTGCAATGTTGTTCGTCAAAATGCGCGCGCTGTGGTTCGTCACGTGGTTCGGTTCGCGGTGTTGTTACATATCTGTACATGGCTTGAAAGAACAACGGGTAAGTCACGCTAGAAGATCTGCTTAACTTGAAATGTTACAAATTGTGGAAGACAGCTTAGAAATAGTCGAAGACGACCCAACAATGAGTACTAGAGCCATAGCAGCTCAAGTTGATGTTACTCATAGTAAAGTATGGAAGACAATACGACAAGAACGGTATTATCCTTATCATTATCAACGGGTACAAGCGTTACAACCTGAAGATTATCCTAGAAAAGTTGCACTTTGTCAGTGTCTTTTCAAACAGTTCGGTAGAGATGAAAATTTTACGAAATTAATTTTGTGCACAGACGAGGCCACATTTACACTAAATGGAGTGCACGATTTCCACAACAATCATGTTTGGGCAGTAGAAAATCCGCATTCTGTAAAGAGAACTCATTTTCAACATAGATTTCCATTAAATGTTTGGGCTGGCGAGGTAAATTACATGCTTATCAGACCCTACTTTTTTCCACCTCGACTGACCGGTGAAATTTCTTTAGATTTTCCTCGACACAATCTGTCACAGTTTTTTTCTGTGGGGCTATTTGAAAGGGTTGGTGTATCATGATGGAGCAGTAAATACTCTGGAATGGAAATAATTTTGAACAGTTTTTGCAACAACGGAACTTGATAATGATTCTTTTTAAATAATTTTTAATAATGTAAGCTAACTCTCTTATCATGCAATTTTTATATAGGCGATTTTTGGTATATCAACGGCGTTTGACGAGTTCTACAAGCTGTTAAAATAAATGACTCAATTCTGAAAACACCTGCAGATAGACTCCACAGTTGCTAGGGCAATAAGGGACGTCATGAGTGAAAAGTGAATACAGGATTGATCCGAGAATCCTGCGAGTTACCGCGGCTCTGATGTGCCATGCTGTCGGCAAGAAATTATTAATTTTAATCCAAAATTTCCTACCATCAAAGAAGGATTTCAAAAGCTTTAGGAGCCAAAATGGAAAGCCCTTCTGGATTAGCTTATAGAGAAGACCATCGTGTCACACCTTGTCAAATGCCTTCGAGACATCCAGAAGCAAGATGCCATTACTTTCGGTTAGGGTAAAGCTCCCGGTTATTTGCCCCACAAGCCTAACCGCCTGTAACACCGCACTATGCTCATACGGAAATCCAAACTGCACGTCAGGAATTACATGGTGATCTGGCGAGAAATTCTCGAGGTGACGTAGAATCACCTTTTCCAAGCTTGGACGGAGCAGACAGCAGGCTAATGGGACGATAATCCTGGGGAAATATCGAACCCTCTTTCTTTGGAACCATTATAACCTCCGCAGTCCTCTACGCCAAAATGAAGTACTGGGTTCATAGCATGACATTGAATATTACCACGAGATAAGTCATGGTTTCCCGCGAATGCAGCTTCAGCGTCTTATGAGTCATTTCATCCTTCCCAGCCTCTTTGTGCACCTTGAGGTCTTTAATATGACCTTGAAGCTCTGCTGGTATGCAATGCGGGATCTCGTGAAATGCCATTGATGTGCTATGCAACTCTTCAGTTGAAGAATCCTTTGAGGAAGAATCACTAATGCTGCTAGAATATCTCCTGACGGACCTCACCTTATATTGCTCCTCGTCGAGATCATCATGGCGTCAGCGAAAACCTTGACCTTATCCTCTGTCCTTAAGACTATGCCATCAGGACCGTGGATGTGCGGCAGTTGTCCTCGCTTTACGTTTCTGAGCTACTACTCCTCTTTCCAGAGAATATTTGAGTCAAGCGTCCCCGGCAGAAAGCCGTTCCATTGCTCAATACGGAATTCATGAAGAGCATTTCTTACTTCAGGATGACAAAACATTTTCGCTTGCTCAATTGCAGCCCTTTTGGCAGAAATGTTTTGACGAATTTCTGCCCGAATAGTTGTTGTTCACTCTTCCATGTCCTCTCGGGTATAATAATATAACACACCACAACTGTGCCACAGGTACGTACTAGATGTGTACTAGCGGCTGCCTCATTGGTTAGTAAACAATTTGACATTAGACTTTTTTGACCTTAGGGGCCGTATCGTCAGTCGTTCCTACAATTAGGACACCTCTATGGCTTCCTTGATTTTTATAGTATTTTCTCTCCTTCAGAACGGCTGTGATATTTCTAGATTCTTACGGTTCCGTGCTAGCGTCAGCGCTCTACTATTGTCAGGCTATGTTTTCTCCTTGAATTGTAGGAAATTTCAGGCTACATAACAGTTTGATGCAAATCAATGTTTGTAACATAACCTCAAAATAGAGAGCTCACACACAGGAGTAGAAAACTATGAAAATCAAGGTGGCCATAAAGGCGTCCTACAATTGTAGGAACGACTGACGATACGGCTCTTTGTAAGATTTTTACTTAATACCCACACATAGTAATACCTCGGCGGTTAGCTACTTTTAACTTCATGTTTGAATGTTTTGCTAAGATCTGCTTCGAGAAGTGAAACCGCTGCTCAAGGAATCTTCATTATTTTTTGCTTACCCACATTTTACTACATATTTCCATACTTAAAAAACAGTTTAATGAGAACAAGGACAGTATATTTACAAAGTACATTTTATTTACAAAATAGCATATAAATTTTATTATTACACCTCAACTTTCGTGACATTCCTGTTAGCACAAACTTCATCGTCAATGCCTCTTCCAATATAAAAACATCCCTTTCGGAAATATTCCGTGATGCTTTCTAGCTTCTTGCCCTTGGTTTCCGGCACGAAGATGTAAGTATATACCAACCCTGCTAAGCACATAACAGAAAAGAACCACTGCAGATGTGTAGCACCCCCAAAGAAATTCCTAAGATTGTAGTAGCTGTGGAGGGCTGTGAACATGAAGAGGCAGTAGAAGCTGTAGGTGATGCTATAGCCGATCCCCCTGATCTCTAACGGAAACAGCTCAGCAATGAGCATGGCTGGGATGTTCAGGAAGCCGACTGTGGAGAAGATCACGTACAGCAGGAGAGACATTACGGGTACCCATTTTGCATTGGATGAGCCTGGAAAGTGTAAGAGTATTCTAAAAGTCTTTCCAACTAGTAGGCAATATTCAATAATTTATCTTTTTTATGGTTAACATGTAGCGAAGAACGACAGGAGAGGGCATACAAATTATTTTTTTATCTGCCGCGCACGCTGATGAGAAAAATCCCCCGTGACACCGGCCTTGGTTACGTCATAACTTTGTGCGTATGATTTATTGTTTGTAGAACTTCTCTTTGTGAAGCTTTACCATAACTGTCAAAAAAATCATAAAACAATCACTATTTTGGGTAAAAAGGGCTATAAGCCTGATGATTTTTTATTTTACAAACTTGCCATGTCGCTAGGCGATACCAGTATTTTAATCGCAGAAATTTCTGTCAGCCTGTCTGTCGTCACAATATGTCCTGTTAAACATTGTCCCCTCTACAACGCCATTAATAATCAATACAACACTAGAACAGGGCATGATCTGAGTATACGGACACATAACTCTGCCCTATTCCAAAAATCTCCCACTCTAGCGTGCACTAAGGTATACAATAATCTGCCGAGTGAGTTGCGGAGAAGCACTAATATCCTTGCGCTGAAAAAACATCTCAGGAAATATCTGGTTGAAAAATGCTTTTACTCTCTACATGAGGTTTACTAACACATGAAAGTATCTGTTTTTAAATTCTTTTAAGCTGTTAATCATTTCGTTTCTTTTTAAGCTTTTAACCATTTGTCCTCACTGCTCGATGTTTGTTGTGTTTATTTATTATGTATTTCTAACAGATTCTCCTACCGCTTTTCTTTGTATTAGCTTCAATGATTTTTACCGGCCAGACGAACATTTTTTGTGATAAAAAAGTCGCTGTATATGTATATATTTTTACCGTTACAGATTGAACACATTACGATTCTTGAGCTGTACCTATAATGTGACTTAACCTTTTAAAATGTTTTGTAATTGTAATGTCCTTATTTATTTTATAATTACAAGTATTTTTCTGGCATATTTGCTCAAATGCATATATGACCTTCAAATTGATATTGACAAGTCTTATATCATGTAACATGATCTAATAGGACAATAAACTATCTATCTATCTATCTATCTATGATTCAGAATGTACGAGTAAAGGTTACTATCATTGTAAGATCGTAAGTTTGGAAAAGAAAGAGAGTATCGAACTTGTTTGGCGGTAGTTTATTTATAAACTAACGGCAGCAAATCTATGGGCCTATTAGGGATACTTCACAGATATTTCCCGGTATTGGATATTGGTAAATAATCCGATTTCGTGACAACATTAGGGCTTTAGTTATCCGGGTGTAAAATAATTATTAGGCGTTCACCGGTCTTTGCGAATATGAAGATATTTCGAACGATAAAGCTATCAGGGTGTACAGAAGTTGACTCAGGTACTATACTATGTATGTATGATGTATGTATGATACATATACAAAGTCCATTGGTCCAGAACTGCATGGGAAGTAAAGACTCAATCTACTTGACGCTATTCCACTTCCTACGCCATTGGCGAGGAAGTGGAATGGCGTAGGAATGAGCTTTTACGTTTTCTTGATGTTATATAACATATACAAACCATGGCACTCATTCTGATGAATTTTTTACACAAGATGACTACCATGCAAAGGTCGAAAAGCTTTATAGTTTTTGAAAATCAATCTAGTGGAGATCGAACTAGGAGCAAAAAAGTAAAAAAAAATAAGAATCGTTCAAACTTCATTTTTTGACATTTTAGATGATTCTGATCATCGGCAAGAGATAACTTCATATGGAAACGTACCTGTCGAAAAAACGTTATTTGAATCGCAAGGGGTAGCACATTTTCTCTGGAAGCCAAATCCTAAAGAGTCTCAAAATTGTTAAAAAAGCATGATGTTTGAATAACTTGATCCATTTAATTTTTTTTATTACACATATTCGTAGCCTATCTTTTTTCTCAGATAGGTCAACTTGTGCCGAACAAACCTGTATGACAGCGTTGCGTAGAGAGTTATCCTACTTGACGGTATTTTTGATGATTGTAAGGCGTAATAAAAATGATATCCTACCGTCTTGTATCCAACTGGTGTACAGTCCAGCAACAAACATCCATAGCGACATAAATAGGCAACTAAACATTAGGAGAGTTCTTCGTCTAAACATTTTCAGGATAAATAATCCTGCTATGGACATTATCAGTCTTACAGTTCCAATTAATATCGATGCGATATATGCGTTCATGCTAGTACCAGCTTCCTGTAAAGTAATTTCCATGCACGAAGTAATAAAAAAATATACTTACGTATATATGAGTAGTTAAAAAAACGTCTCTCTGATCCAAATAGAATATAAAACTAGCATATCTCCAGTTCCTTAATATAAAATTTCCGTTTTGTCCCTATAAGTGAACAAAATTCGTTGCCCAAGCATGAGCGCCCATTAGGGGGGCAAGAGGGGCATAACCTAATAAGGTACCCGTTTCATAAGCAACACGTTGCGTGTGTGTATATTTGGTTTTCAAGACATCCGCGAAAATTATTTTACTAGATCTTAATTGTGGAGATGTGTTGCCCCCCCCCCCCTCCAGACGCTCATGCACAGGAAGAGACATATACATTTTTACAAATATTACAATTAAACAGGTTGCAGTAACTGAACAGAATGAAGAATCAATTGTACTATCAAGACGAATCTAAGCACACCTCAGATGTAAAAATGTAAAAACTAATCAAGCTGCTGTAGCCCGTGAAATAAAAATCACGATATTAATTTTTTATCACACCTGCTGCCAAGAAAAATCAAGAGACACCTCATAATGTCAAAATCCATCAAGCCGTTTAAGCTATAGCCCATGAAATGTTGATTATCTCATCAAAATGTTATTTAATTTTCAGCTGCCTTCAATCGCCTCCCCCCCCCCCCTCGAAACGAGTATCTTGCTGAACATGAATTCTGTTCTGGGATCGTCAATGTTCCTCTTTTGAATTTTGATATACGGGCGCCCATGTGTCCAAGCGTTATTTGGTATTATGAATTAAAATTTGTAATTTGTCTGTGAAAAAATCTGCGGAGGGCCTTGTTTGGAGAAGCGAAATAAGATTTTTGGAGACTCATCGTTTTCAGCCAAAAACTGACCTCAAATTTGTGATCCAGTTTATCGAGGATACGGGTTTTGATTGAGATTGCAAGTTTTTGAGAATATTATACATTTAGGGTGACGAGCACCAAGCAAAAATGTTCAAAGCTTAATTAGCATTTTGCTGAAAATGTTCAGAACTAGCGACTTCAGGTGTTGTGTATCTGAATGATGAGATGATATTCCTACTATCGAAGCGACATACGTCTCTACTTACTACACTTACAGATTAAATGAACAAACCATTTTCATATATTTTTAGCGAAGAGCTATGTAGTTTTGAACACTTTTGGTTGGTGTTCCCTTAGAGTTTGAGTACCGTCATACAAAATTTCCATTTTATAAACGAATGAAACTCGACATACTAAGGCAATTTGATACTTTGATTTCTTATAAGCAATCAAAAAATATTGTAGACGTAGGAATATTTTGATCATATTCAATGGTTGGTATAAATTTAACCTTCCAGTACTCGCGCGGGGAAAATCACGTAGGTACTCGCGTGGGGTACTGAGGTTCTCCAACCTGTTTTTGTGTTTTTTAATTTAAATAAAGCAATAGTTGGAGCTTTTCTTTGAAAAATATATTCACACAATTTTTCTAAATGCTTTTATAACAGAACAAAAAATATTCACTTACGAAAGAAATGCTAACATAATATTTATATAAATTCCTAACTAACAAATCAGGTCTCTGAAGGTATAATATGGCAAAAGCATCTATTCGCTGTCACAATTGGTTTCTATTTCTCTGCTATCAAGGCAATTACGGCATACGAAATTTTGATGAATTTTACATATCCACTCAACACATTTTACGCATGTAATTGGCGTTTTTCTATCAGCTGATCTGGGACATAAATACCACCTACCCTTTCCAAGTTTTTGTTTCTTTGTAGTAGCCTTGTCTGTTGCTAGAGTAGTTTCCTCAATGTTCAGTAAAGCGATAGCCCTTTTCTTTATATTTCTTGGGATAATATCCATATACGTATATATTCTTTTCATTATTTGTGGCAGTACTGACTCTGCAGCTAACTCTTGCAGGAAATGTTCTCTGTTTGGTTCTTCAAAATTATTGTTCATAGCAAATAGACAAAGTGCGTTGATACCAGCAATACGTAATTTAGATTGTCAAAGAAAACTGTCAGAGGCCAACGTCGGCTATTTCTAGCCACGTCATACTGAGCACAAAGTTTGTCTACGACATCCACTCCAGATTTAGTTCTGTTGTATTCCAGGATTATTCCAGGTTTCAAGCATTCCCTATCAACCTCGTCATCGTGGTGCATTGATGAAATCAGCAATACATTTTTGCCTTTTTTGGAACGTAAGACAGCAAGGTAAAATCTGATTGAAAGGCAAACATACTACTCTGTTCTGGTCTAGAAGCAGTCTGTGTGAATTCTAATGGAATCCCTCTTTTATTTTTCCTGAGCGTACCAACCATAGTCAATTTATCTTTCAATAAGTCCCTAGCAAGAGGTACACTGGAAAACCAATTACCATTGTAATGTTACGACCTGTACCTTTTAGAGGCTCAACTAACCTTTTTGCGACATCTCCAGGACTGTTACTCAAACCATACGGCCCGTTCGGTTGTTTACCTGCATATATTTCTAACCTGTATGTATACATGGCTTTGACATCGACCAATGCAAATATTTTGATTCCATATTTGCTGGGCTTATTAGGTATATATTGCCTGAAGGTGCATCTTCCTGGAAAGGAAACCAGTTGTTCATCGATGGTTAGAAAAGCGCTTGGTATCACTGAAGACTGGCAATTGTTCACAAATCGCTGAAAAATGTACCTAATCGCTGCCAGTTTGTCATACATACGTCGATCTTCCCTAGTATTTACATCATCAAATCTGAAACTTATACACAGGAATCTGAAGCGATTATAACTCATTGTTATATATATATATATATGTTTTCAATTCCATTGCCATTTGTGTTCCATAATGTTCGAATATTCTGCCTCCCAGATTTCAAAGATCCCGCCAAATAAAGTATTCCTATAAAAGATCTTATCTCACATACGTCAGTCAATCTAGCATCACGTTCTATATCGAAATTTTCTTGAATCTTTGCAATGTATAGATGGGTACATTTCATACCGATTTCAATCATTGAATCATCAATAAATTGGCTAAGACAGTCCATCGAGGATTTGGCGTTTTTTGCGTTGCCTACTGGCCCTGGAACTTTCAATATAAGCTTATGAGCCTTTGTTCTTGACGTTGGTGGTTTGTTTTTACTCCATTTAGTTTCTTTATCCCTTCCCAAAAAATATGGACCACCGTTTTTTACAGAATCTTCTTCAGTTATATTCGAAATATCAGCTCCCTCTTCAGACTCTTGCTCCGTATCTGAACATTAACCTTGTACTTCCAAGTTATCTGTTTCTTGCTCCGATGGATCATCTTCACCATAAACTTCTTCGTCGTCACTGTCAAGCATTTCATTATACCATTTCAGCCATTGCTGTGGGTCTCTACTTGATAAATTTGCCATATTTTTACCTGCAGTAACACCAATAAATTGAAAAAACCTCAAAAAACAAACAAAAATACCATTACATCCTTGTTACTCCGACGCTCGCGAGGGGTATGTAAATACCCCAATCAAATTTCGACTCGTAGCTTACGCACCACGTGATCTCGACTGCAGCCAACCCTTAACACCAGCCTGCGTATACTACACTCGAGGAATAGACGAAACTATATGCTGATCGTCATTTCCCCCACTCCAGTATAGATAGAGATATTACTAGTGGGGTATTTGGATACCCCGCGCGAGTACTGGAAGGTTAAACTTGAAGCTTTTTCAAAGCAAAATTTCCGTTTTCGTCTGTCGCTCTTGCAAGCAAACGAACCACGATACACAGGAACAATTTTATGCGCTGACTTCAAGTCATTGAAAAATGCTAATGTGCTATTATTTTAAAATCTTCTTCATAGATAGTAATTCGTAATTCAAATCATAACCTTACCTCTATAAAGGAGATTGAATAAAACATCGTGATGTAAAGACCTGAGAAATGATGGAACAAAAATAGTCCACACAATGTCAAAATTGGCTTGTAACCGGTTGGTTTCATAAACTCCTTTATCACAGCTCTAGCACCAGTTACTTTACGGTTTTTAGATTGCTCCTCAGTTTTCTTTTGCTCTTGTTGTAGTAACTTCAGTTGTAGTCCTGCATAGCTTTCGTTCTAAACAAAAATTCAAAAGGATTCACGAAACACGACAAAAATCAAGGTTCTTTAGATTGTACAATATTTTCTTGTTAGACGATTTTCGAAAAACTGCTCCGTTTTGAAGATAAAGAAAACAAAAGTTTTCGTTAAATAAGTTTTAATCTGTAAATGACATATAGGCTTCTTGATTCGCAAACCAATTTCTCTCCCTACATATACATAATTACGTTTTAGCAACTTCCTACTGTAGAAAATTTTTTCATCATGGCGGCACATGTATTTATCTTAAAAATGGATTAGATTACACTAATTTGAAATGCATTGAGGATACTTCAGAAGATAAACATTTTGAATGTAGTGGTATTAAGATTACAACCAAAGATGTCAATGCTGTGATAATTTCTCTATACAGAAGTCCTGATGCCGATATTAAAATTTTCTTAGAAAAGATATTTTAAATCGTAAATATAAAAAATGTAATATTGTTCTTTGTGGTGATTTTAATATTAATTTTAATAAGCGTTCTTCTGATTTGAGTAGTATGTTGGACATACTAAAATCATATTCCCTAAAGCCAGTCATTAAACAACCTACGCGAGGCTCTAAATCGACAATATTTGTGTGGGAGCGGATGTAGAGTGTGAAACTGCTGTGGTAAACAACAATATTAGTGATCAATTTGCTCAATTATTATCATTGAACTGCCAAAAAGAAGAGCAACCACCGAAAGTATCCTACCAATACCGAGACATACACAATAAAGCTAACATCGACGTCTTTCTAGCTCTTCTAAGTCAAGAGACATGGGATCATATTTACCATTCAACTGGAAAGATAAATGAGAAATTTGATGCTTTCTTACAAACATATCAGAATTATATTGATATTGCATTTCCAGTAATACAAAAAACTAATAAAACATGTAAAGCCAGAAAACCATGGGTAACTAAAGGTATATTGATATCAAGAGATAAGCTACACTAACTGTATGATCTGTCTAGGTCTGGAGACATATTTATGAAGGACCATTATATGAAATATAAAAAAGTATATTCTAGAGTTTTAAGAGCAGCAAAACGTTCACACTATAACGCATTGATATTAAATTCTAATAATCAAACGAGGACCGCTTGGAATGTAATAAAACAGAATAAAAATGCATCTAGACATGAAGTAATTAAATCAAAAGTGAAAGATGAATTAATAACAGAACCAAAAGAGGTGGCCGATAAATTTATGCAACATTTTAATAGTGTTACAGACCTATACGTAGATAACAAAGTGGGAAATAGTAGTATTAATATAGATAGGAACATTCATTCATTTTATCTCAGACCTGCTGTAGCAAATGACATATCAGGTATGATAAAAAATCTTAAAGGTTCTAATTCTTTTGGCGCAGACAGAATTAGTACTAACATGTTAAAATTTTCATCTGACATCGTTTGCCATCCTCTTGCTTTTTTAATTAACTGCTCCATCGAAGAAGGAATTTTTCCCGACAAACTTAAGATTGCAAAAATTAGGCCGCTGTTTAAGTCTGGAGATAGGTTTGATATGTGTAACTTCAGACCTATCTCACTTCTTAGTCCCTTCTCGAAGGTGTTTGAGAAATATGTCTCTCTGCAACTCATCAATTTCTTTGACAGATTCAAATTATTTAATAGTAATCCGTTTGGATTTAGAAAAGGCATGTCAACCAAAAATGCCGTACTTCATTTCCTATATGATTTATATCTCGAGATGGATAAAGGAGAAAAATGCATAGGTATATTTCTTGATTTAAGCAAAGCTTTTGACTTGGTTGACCATGGTATTCTGCTAGATAAAATGGATAGATATGGAATCAGAGGGAAGCCATTTGACTGGTTCCTTAGCTATCTGTCTGATAGAAAGCATCATGTCGAGGTACAAAATGCACAGTCCAGCCAACATTTCTACCATACTGGTGTTCCACAGGGCTCCATACTTGGTCCTTTCTTATACATAATGTACGTCAATGACTTCGCCTCTGATTGCTCGGTAATGTATGCTGATGACACTTCTTTACTTGTTAACGGTAAAAACCTAGAATCTGTTGTAGGACTTGCCAATTCAAGCTTGACTGGTGCAGGTTCAGCAATAATGGGCTCGTCTTAAATAATCAGAAATCTGTTTTCCTTAGATTTAACCTTTCCACCTCACCGATGGTTCACACTTTATTAATAAAATCGTTTGGCAAATCAATAAAACAAGTGGATGCGACTAAATTTTTAAGGATATATATATATATATATCTCAAAATTGTAGATGGGATACGCATATTGAGAAAAGTAGCCAAAAGATCGCCCCACTCTGTTACTGTCTGTACCAGTTAAGTTTTGTTATGGATAAGTGGATATTACTGATATTTTATCATGCACATATCCATTCAGTCCTAATTTATGGAATAGAAGCATGGGGAGCATCGTCCCAGCTCCAAAGACTTTTTGTGTTGCAAAAAAAGGCTGTTCCAGTAATAGCTAAAATTGGAAGGCTCACCAGCTGCAAGGGTTCATTTAGAACATTAAAGATTTTAACCTTACCATCTGTATATATACTCAATATACTTATCCTTGCTAAAACACAATTGAGCAAGTTCAATTCCGTAAGCACTGGAGCTTACTTTACAAGGAACAGTCAAGTATTGGAGGTGCCGTCGCATAGATTGGCGAGAACGGAGGAGAGCCCTAGATACATGGCTATTAAGTTTTTCGACAGACTCCCCAACAATTTGAAATCACAACCACTGAACACTTTTAAAAGAACAGTCAAACAGTTTTTGCTGGAGAAAGCTCTTTACTCTATTGAGGAATTTTTAATGTGTGAATGTCTTGTTTGATTTTGATCATTGTTGTTTGAATGTCACCTAATGGTTTGTCCTTTATTTTGCTTTTTCATATATACATATATGTTTTATATTTATAAATTTTATCAATATGCTAATTTGATTTATCTGTATCCATATTTGGAATATGCCATATGTGGTACGAATATGTGTGCGTCCACACTAACATGATCTGTTATTAGCTTTTGTAGTGCTCTGACTGAATTATCCTATATCACATCTGTGACCATACAGGACTAACAAATCATTATTATTATTATTATTATTATTATTATTATTATTATGTTCAAAATAAGTGTGCCTCCAAGTAGAACACAAGAATTCAAATTTTTTTCTCATAGAACGCCGAACTCTTTCATATTAAGCATGAAGGTTTTGAATCAGTTACCCATAATCTGTATATGTAAAGAGTATTTATGCCCCTACATTAGCGGCGAAAGTACTTTTTTGTTATGGACATAACAGTATCATAGCAATTCTGAAGCTATGTTTGACATATTTTTTAGTATACTGTAGTTTGTATGAACAGAGAAAGTGAATCTTAGGAGAATGCTCAATACTTGCCTTATCTGCAGGATTAGGTTGATGTTTGTGAAGCCATTCCAGTGATTTCTGTGCAAGTTTTACATTTCCTTTAAGAATCAACCATGAAGGGCTCTCGTGAATGAAACAACATAGAATTGCTGGAGTCACCATGAAAATGGTACTTATCCAAGCCAGCATTCTCCAGTGGATCAAATAACCGCCTAGGTACATTAGAATCATACCTGAAATTGATTAAATCCTAAGTAGTCGCGAAACTGCAAAACCTTTCTTAGTTTAGACTGATCGAAGATATAGTGGGTAAAATCAAAATACAGGCGGGAATTATAACTAACCATACGAGGTCTGTAACCTAAGTGATGAGACTATTTATTATTAATTTTTAATCCAAATCTGATCACAATTTTATATTATCCTCCTCAAAATAACATCCTTTAGAAGCCACACAGCGCTGAAGACGGTTCTTCCTCTCCTCCTAGCAGGGCTGGAGCTCCGATACTGGAATAAGCTTCAGCTGGTCGGTTGCAGCTATTTGAGTATCTTCGACTGTCCCAAAATGGATTCCCTTGAGGTGAGTTTCCAAGTTCGGGAAGAGAAAACAGTCACAAGGACCCAAGTCAGGTGTATAAGGAGACTGAGGAACCGCATAAATATTTTTACTGGCCAAAGACTCGTTTATTGACATTGCTGTGATGCAACACCCACTTGTTCGTGATCTGATGAACGGTGGTGTGCGTCAAATTTAACTCTTCCCCGATCATTCTGACTGCCAACCGACGATCTGAACGCACAAGATCCCGGATTCTGGCGATATTTTATTCGGTTCTTGAAGATGAAGGCCTTCCGCTTCGTGGTTATCTTCAATCGACTCTCTCCCTTCTGAAAATGCCTTAACCTCTTAACCGAATATGACGAATATATTTGCCAAGTAATAAACTAACTTGGTTGGGTAGTACGAGTATATTCGCCTCACCGTTTAAACGCCTCATTTCACGAATAATACGAATATAGTCGCTAATCCCCACTCTTCGCACGTTCGAATGGTACCTATACAAAACTTGCTGCTTTCTGTTAAATGAGCTCAGTTGAGGACTGATATAGGGTGGAGTATACACGTTTTGCGCGCTACCTTTTTGTAATGTCTGACGCGAGTGAATCTTCATTCGATTACAACAGCGATCTTTTGTCTATCAGTTCTATTGATATTGACTATGATTTATCAAGCTGCGACGATTTATCTTCGGCAGATGGATCAGAAAGTGAATACCTTGAAGAGGCTACAGACGACATAGAGGTACCTTGGGTCAAAGAAGATATACCGCGCCCTAACTTTCTTTTCACTTCAGATCCTGGTATAAAAGTTCCTGGTATTAGCTCGGATAATATTTTGGAGATATTTGAATTATTCATGGATCAGCATTTGCAAACCTTAGTAGAAGAAACAAATAGGTAAAATGGTGTTATTCTCCACTACATTTGTCTTATTCTAGGTACGCCAATCAGTTCATTATCAAGAACCATGAACATTTCAGGCCTCGTTCAAGAGTTCGCGCCTGGACTCAAACGGATGCTAATGGAATAAAAACTTTTCTTGGATTGTTGTTTGCGTCAAACCATCATACGAGATGTACTTTTCTAAAAGGGAAAGCATAGAAACACCTTTTTTCCAAGGTGATGACTGAGAGGAAGTTTGCACTTATACAGGGTGTTTCAGTTTATTGTTGCATAACTTTAAGATTCGATAGAACTTTTAAAATTAATGCATAAAGTCTATATAAACATGGGTCGAAAAATGCGTGGCTTCCGACAGGGTGTTTAAATTTACTTTCTAAAATAGTTTTTTTTAAATATTTCGAACAATATTTGATGTATAACAGTGAAAATTGGTATACAAGGGTTTTTTGATACGACAAAACGAACCATGGTCATAGTTTTACTGTAGCCGCTAGAGGGCGCACTCTACTGTACCTGTATTGTATTAAAATGACCGAAAAAAATTTCTTAGTGCAATTTTTTGCTTTTTTAATAAAAAAAACTGATTCTTCGCACTTTTCAACATAAAAAGCTCTCTTGTGAATGTTCGTTATAGTTAGCCGTTTTTGAGATATTTCGATTTTTAAGGTTCGATGCATTTTTAATTATTTATGATAAAATAACGTTAAAAAGTCAGTATCTCGATAATTTTTAGAAGTAGGCTGTGCCTGCAAATATTTTTGAAATTGAAAGCAGAATAAGATTAAACGTCAATTAGTTGACAGTTCGTTTTGTTGTCTGTTGAAACCTGAAACGTTTTTTTTGCAATTGTGAGTGCACGAAATTTAGTTTCTTTTACCTGTTTTTTGTAAGTTTTATAAAAATGCCATTTTTATTCTCCAATCAAGACTTAGCGGATATTCATTTTGTGTATGGCTTTGTAAATGGAAACGCAGCAGAAGCAGCCAGAGAATACGCACGAAGATTTCCAAACAGACGACATCCAACTCGCTCAGTATTTGTAAGAGTGCATCGCCAAATAATTGAAAATGATTTTGGAAATCTCCAAAGGGATGAAAACATAAATGTTCGTCAGCGCAGACTTACCCGTATGATTCTGCGTGAGTTTGATAGAGATCCGACCACAAGTGTTAGGAGAGTTTCTGGTGCCTTGGGTATTTCAGCAAGCCATGTTCACCGTGTTCTTAGAAATGACTATAGACGTCCTTACCATTTGCAACCTGTGCAAGGACTACAGCCAGGGGACTGAGAACGAAGAATCACATTTTGTCAGTGGATTCTTGATAGAACTGATAATCGTAGGGAGTTTTTAAGTAACGTTTTATGGACCGATGAGTCATGCTTCACTAGACGTGGAGTGGTAAATTTTGATAATCAACATATTTGGTCGCATGAAAATCCGCATGCAGTTCGGGAAAGAAATTTTCAGCATGAATTTAGTGTGAACGTGTGGATTGGTATCTACCGTAATCGACTATTTGGACCCTACCTTTTGCCTGCAAGGTTAAATGGTGCGACCTTCTTGGAATTTTTAAAGGCTGAACGTGCAAATATTTGGGATGATGTTATGTTAGATTTAAGAAGATTGGCCTGGTTCCAGCTTGATGGTTGTCCAGCTCATTATTCGAGAATAGTTAGAAACTGGCTGGACGAAAATTATCCAGAAATATGGATCGGCCGTGGAGGACCAGTCACCTCGCCTCCACGATCCCCTGACCTAAATCCATTAGATTTCTTTGTGAGGGGATTTCTAAAAGAAAAAGTGTACCAGACTCCCGTAACTACAAGAGATATGCTAATAGACAGAATCAGGAATGTATGTGATGAAATAAGGCCTTTTTGAATAATGCTATACCACGTTCGATCATTCGTAGATGTGAATTGTGTATTGAACAATTGGGTTTACATTTCGAGCAACTACTTTAGATTTTGTATGTTTGTCCTAACTATCCAAAAGCATTTTAGTTGTAAATAATTAATTTAATTTGTTAAAAATAATATTGGAAAATTAAACCAATTAATATTCTGTTTTTTGTGTTTATTTGGAGTTAGGAATTATTGCTGTGTTTGAAAACACAATCTAAACGATCATCTCAATTACTTGTAATGCCCAAATCGAAAATGTAAAAAAAAATATTATTTTCCCATAAATAATTAAAAATGCATCGAACTCTAAAATCGAAATATCTCAAAAACGGCTAACTATAACGAAAATTCACAAGAGAGCTTTTTTATGTTGAAAAGTGCGAGGAATCAGTTTTTTTATTCAAAAAGCAAAAAGCAAAAAAAAGCACTAAAAAAAAGTTTCGGTCATTTTAATACACTACAGGTACAGTAGAGAGCGCCCTCTAGCGGCTACAGTAAAACTATGCCCATGGTTCGTTTTGTCGGACCAAAAAACCCTTGTATACCAATTTTCACTGTAATACATCAAATATTGTTCGAAATATTTAAAAAACACTATTTTAAAAAGTAAATTTAAACACCCCGTATTTCGGAAGCCACGCATTTTTCGACCCATGATAATATAGACTTTATGCATTAATTTTAAAAGTTCTATCGAATCTTAAAGTTATGCAACAATAAACTGAAACACCCTGTATGTAAGTTACTACATTTTTCTAATAATAACGAAATTGAAGAAAACACTTCTCAGATGAAGCTGTCCTAGATCACCTTCAAAAAAGGTTTATGGAGGTTTACATTCCTGAACAAAACATTTCTATTGACGAGTCACTACTAGGTTGGAAAGGTCGCCTAACGTGGAAACAGTACATCCCATCGAAAAGAAAAAGGTTTGGGATAAAACCATTTATTTTAGCTGAAAGCTCAACAGGCTAAACCTATAACTTTTTGATATATACCGGAGCTGATACAAACTATGGCAACAGCTTCGCAAGTGAAGCTTTCTCAGTATTAGAACACTCAAATAATACCTTAGATAAAGGTTATTGTCTGTTTCTCGATAACTACTATATACTAGCGTGGACTTGGCAGAAAAGTTATCGATGAGGCGCACAGGTTGTGTTGGCACAATGAGGTTGAATAGGTAAGGTATACGAAAAGAGCTGAAGGAGCAAAAGTTGGAACGTAGAGAAGCATATGCCTTATTTAGGAAGAAAATTATGTTGCTGAAGTATAAAGATGAAAAAGAAACAGTGATGATAAGTACTTTACATGACAATCATTTTGTAGAGAAAACAAAATGAGGGAAGGTAATGAAAAAGCCATTAGTTGTAGAGCATTATAATAAAAAAATGGGCGGAGTAGATTTGACTGACAATGTGCGCCATTTTTATGCAAATCACGTACACACCTCAAAAATATTACAGAAAAATATTTCTTCATTTCTTAGATATATCTGTATCAAACAGCTACATCCTTGACAAAAAAACTTGGTGGTAGGAAGTCACGTCTAAACTTTGTAATAGATCTAACTGAAAAACTGATAGAAAAATATGGAAGAGATAAGTATTGTAATGCAGGTAGACACGATCAAAAACAAAAAATGCAAGTCGATTGATTGAGAAACATTTTCCATCTGTAATACCATCCACGGTACATAAAAAGAAACCGACCAAAAGATGTGTAGTGTGTAGAGAGAAAGGCAAGAGAAAAAAGTATACAGGGTGACTTTGAAGTTGAGTCATTAATTTTCAGATAATGATTGTAGAAGGAAGATAAACTAAAATATGTGCCATTTTTTATTTCGTTTGAGCCACGCAGCAAACACCACTATTCACTCACGCGTTACCGACTGACACATTGACTGAATAAAAACATCGTGATCAGCGTTTCAAATTCTTTCGCTTTTTTGTTTCCGATGCGATGAACCGATAAGGCGGATTATATCCGTTGTTTCCAAACACGAGCACATAATATTATTATTGAGACAGGGCGGTACTCAAACTTCTAAAGGGCTATAACTTTGTTACTTTAATTTTACCAGAAAAATGTTAAAGGAAAAAAAATTTCTTTTGATCAGATCTACTCACTGTTAAAATAAATGACTCAACTTCGAAGTCACCCTGTATATTGGTGCGAATCATGTAAAACTGGACTGTGTACTGCGCCATGTTTTGGTTTATACCATTCGTAGTTTAGTTGAATGAGCTTTTTTGTCAATAATTTTCAATAAAGTAATTGGAATTATTGGATACATACTTACATTTTTTTATCTTATTCATACGCTCTCCCTATCGAGTGAAACGAGTATATACGCATACTTTCTATCTGTAAGGGTACCACATTACGGGAACGACGAATATAGGTGTATCTTTTTAACTTACCGGATAATGTGAATATTTTTATGACACGAGCCATACAACCACATCCGAATTCTGGCAACACGGTTAAGAGGTTAAACCATCGAAAAATGCAACGCCTGGTAACACACCGTTTATCGAAATTGATGTCATTCATTTTTAGAGCACAACAGGCACACAGGCAGCAGCGGTGGCCGCAGTAGTAGACTCATCGGTCTCCTGATCAGTCGCCGTGCGCTGTGCGGGTTCGAGTCCCGTCCCAGGAGAAATTTTTCTCTTGGCTATGGATGTTGTGATTGTCCGTAGGTGGTAGACGGTCTCTGACTGTCGAACGTGGAGGTACCACCCGGCGGATCTCGTAGGCGGAGCCAGAATGTGTGCATGTTGCATGCACACGTGTTCCCTCGCCAGAGTCCGTGTGGCGTTCCCCCTTTCCCCTGTATCCCCCATAGCCCCACGGTACCCAATGGGTGTTTAGGCCTTAGGCCTTCGTGGTAGTTGGAGTATAAAAAAAAAACAACGGAAAAAACTTTTCACAAAAATATCAAATATCGTTACGTTCAACCAAATGACTCAAGCGAGTTCAAACTTGTACTGAAGGCCGATCACAAGTTCTCTTGTATCCCGTCCAAGCCCAGTGCCAAATCAAGCGCTATGTCGCCAGTCTCATCCCTTAATTTACAGACCTCGTATCCACTAATTTTAACATTAGGTTTTACTTCTTACCAAAGGCAACATATGTCGGTGCTAAGGCCATCAAAGACATCCTTATATGTGAACTAGATATTTCTGATATGTATACCAAGCCTGGACTGGTACCCCAAGCTAAAAAAAATTACATTTTTTGGAAAGTGCGCAACGACAGACTTCATAAGAAGTTGAAATCTTCAGAATATGCTCAAATTTTAAATGAACAAAACAAGTCCCAGACGAATATTCTGTGCATGATAGATTATAGTTAAGGAGATTTGTCAATAATATATGTATGTAATTTGAAGGTCTAAATTAAACATCAGAAACTATCGCATAAAATCTGACAAACACGAGGCATATTTCAAAGATTTTTATAGGTTTACCTATCAAGGATCTACAACGTGTAACAGTAATAATTCATTTTTATGACTGTTTCATATCATAGACGTGGCATAATCACCTCTGCTAAAATCTCACACATACCAAATAAAGATCATTTTCGCTGGACCCCTTCATACGACACCAACGAACAAAATACTAGTTTCACATGTTACATTAAAAGACAAGTGGCCATTTTAGTATAATTGAAATGCCTTTACTTTCATTAGAAAAAATAGCATAATGTTGTTATCGATCTTACCTGCAGAAACACCAACCAATATCCTTCCCACGATGATTAAGGAGACCTGATTAGCTAAGGCAGTGATGCTCCATCCCAAAACTCCTGGTATGGAAGCTAGCTTAATAGTATTTAGTCTTCCCAAGTTATCCATCAAAATTCCACTTAACGTGGATGAAAATAATACTGCTATAATGAGAACACTTGCTGAAAAATGAAACAAATTTTGTATAAACGTCCAAAGTGACTAAAAGAACAAATGAAAGAATATAGCAGCCGCGGACTCTTGGCATTTAGGCATCTGCCTGTGCGGCTACTTCGGAGTAAAAAAAGAATTGTAACCATATATGCGGTTTGATTGGCCAGACAATGGAATCCTGGAAAACTACATGATAAGTTTCAGGAATTACAGTAGACTCCTAACTATCCGGCCTAAGGTGGCCGTCAGCTAGTGCGGATAACGAAAAAGCGGGATAAGCGGACCCGATGTCCAAACATACGCAATTTTATTAGACAAATGTATTTTAACTCAGAACTTATATTTGTACTTATTAAGGTATGAGTACATAATACATATCTAATAATATGCATATTATATTAAATACAGTCTTCTATTTTTGCCTGCTTTGCCCTCTGTGCTCTTTTTCGCTGACAAGTCCCTCCACTTACCGCTTCAAGCTTTTGCCCATTGTCACGACCACTTTCTTTTGTTTATTGCTCAACATGAGATGAATAACGTATTCAATTCGCAAACAAAACAACTCGCTCATATGTAACGTATCTATGCACTAAATGAAATACGCATATGTACATAATATGTATGTACAATGTACATCCTACAACACGTAAACTAGTCCTTACTCGTAAAAATAATGTTTAGCGGCGCCGCGTCCTAGACGAGCCGGATAAGCCGGAGTCCGGATAGCGGACAGCCGGATAGTTGAGAGTTTACTGAACATTAATGAACGGTCTATGTCTAATTCAAATGCAACACTACCTCAACGAAATTTAGACACATTTATGCAAAATTCATGAACCCAAGAAAACATTTGCGCGATGTGCTATCCTGCATTCCATGTTTAATTCTAGTATTGCGTATAAATATTTTCTCTTACCAATCCATGAGTTTTGTTGATCTGTTGTCTTTATCTCGCTTCCTGGTTCCTTCAGTTGTGCTATTAATACTGCGGAATATGCCATTGAGGTTCCATTCCCTATGTGGAATGCTGCTGCTATCAATGCTGCCACTATCTGAAATTACCTATCCGTTATTCCCCAGCAATCAACAATTAATTTGTTATTGCAGTTCGATAAATAAATAAATCATTTTTTATTAACTCTACTTACGTTACGACAGCGTAAATTTGTAATATACCGCATATATGTTCTTCTATGATAAATTACAGATTAAACGGAATAGAGAGACGTTTGATCTCGTTCAGGCGACTGAGAATACTTCCAATTTTGAATTATAGAATACACTTTACAAGGAATATGCTTGCGAAATTGACGTAATTTTCTTAAAACAACTATCGTTCGAGTAAGTAAAGTACAGAAACTAGTAACATCTCTTTCTTCCCCATCAATGAATCATTCATATTCGACTAATTGCTAATTCTTAGATAATTTTAGGCTTACCTGTGGCCACAAACTCTTAAAACTTCTACTTTCATACTTGCTTAAAGATATACAGCTGGAGATCAATTCTTTCAGGTTTTCATCTTTTTCTTCTGTTTCATTATTAGTATTTGTTCCACTGAAATAATGAGCAAATGACAGAATAGATGAAATACTAAAGTATCAAAAATCATTGAATTAGACTTCCAGAACTTGCGCTTTTGCTACCTGAAATTAAGGCTACATTCATGAGCGAGAAATGTACAACCATATACATCTTCAATTAGTAGCTAGTAAGAATGTAAAGTTCCGCAATATTTATGATGTAATCCTTAAAATGAAGCAACATATAAGCAGTGATTTATCGGGTCGTTCAGCCCTTCGTCAGCTTTGGGAAAGTCTCCTTTCTTTGCAAACTACCAAGCACATAAAGTTTAGTAAAACTCATGCCAATCTGCTTAATTTATAGAAATTAACCTTAGTATGATTATTTGTGAGAAAAACGAAGATTATTGGTTAGGTGGAGAAGGACGTATCTAAAGTTATAAGAATAAAACGTACTTTTGGCATAAAGTATTGAGTACTTTTAATTCATTGAATGATATGTTTTTACTTGTCATTTGAATCATTTAAAAATAACATCATTTACATGTTTGTAGGTGGAAATAAGCATATCTTTATCAAGTATTTATACAAGGTTGCATTATCGTGGTCATTTCAATAGATGTTTTGCACAAATATTTCCGTGCATGTACAAAGTTCAATGGAATTTTCTAGGTGGAATGATGTATTTGTAACCTCAAAGCTTCCTCGTGTGTATAAGGCGTATAGTAATTTTCCAGAAAACAAATACCTTATTCCATAACGTAGAATAAAGGAACATTAGTGACGTTATTGCTACAAACAACAACAAAATTATTAGATTAGCGAAAAATGTCACATGTCAAATTATGTAGGGAATGTGAACACAAAGATAACCTAGGTCAGCACTTGCTATGATACTGCCCCGCTAAGCTATCGGTACGAAAATCCTTTCTAGGGGAGCATTGGCATTCTCCATCTAATGTAAGAAAATTCCGCTATATCGTATCACTACCTTCATCAACAGTTTCTGGTAGCGTATCCTTATTTGGACACAATGTAGAACTAACAACAATTAAAGTAAAGTATTATGATGTTATATGACACTGAAGAATATACAGCACGCACATGCAGATTAGCGAATCCACAGGTACGATAATTATTCAGTCACTCCAATCGTTGTTTACCTTGGTGTCTTGGCCATTTGCGTTGAACTGCATTAAAAACCTGCAAAATTTATTTAAATCACCAAATCATTAACTGTTAACTATTCAACGCGAGCTAATGGCGCGCTTATTAAAAACTAAACTATGCTTTTTCTTTGTTTTTTATGGTGACGTTTAAATCAGCAGTCGACACCGCTGCTGTGGATTCAGGCCAATGGCAACTGGCCAAAGAAAGCTGGCAAATTAAAAATCGTGACGTGATCCAGTAGAGTCTAAAAACATTTTCGCGAGAGCGTTTTGTACAGTAAGGGGCAACATACTAGCCAAAACCTGCGGCATGCAAAGAGTATACTGAAAATATACTAGGTGACATATAAATCCGAACACCCAGTTTAAATGGTTTTATTTTAATAAAAGTTAGTGAATGTATTTATCTTACTGTAAATAACAAGTGAAAAAATTTTCAGCCTTATCAGTTGGACATTCCGGTTTTTATACTGCTTTTTTTTAATTCACTAACGCTCTAAAAATGAATATTTCAGCCGCAGTAAAGAATCAACGTTGGCGGATTTTGGTTCTTGACTTCCTTTACGATCGGTTACGATGCCTAGAGTACGGAGACCTGTACGATTTCGTCAACTTAGTGAGTTTGATAGGGGCCGCATAGTGGGAGTTCGGGAAGCTGGACTTTCTTTTCGGGCAATTGCAGTTAGAGTGCAAAGAAGTGTAGACACTGTGGTTAGGTGTTGTCAGGCATGGCTTCGAGAAGGCCGTACGCAAAGAGCAAGGGGCACTGGACGCCGCCGTAGAACAACAGACCGTGAAGATCGCCGCCTAAGATTATTGGCCTTAAGGGACCGTTTCTCCACTACCAGGTCCATTGGAAATGAATGGTTTGCAGAACACGGAAGACCTATTGGCATGCGAAGTGTTTACCGACGAATGAGAAGTTTTGGCTTGTTTTCATACCGGCCACACTGAGTCCTCCCTTTAACTCGAGAACACCGACGTAATCGCCTTGAGTGGTGCAGACAACGGTCACTCTGGGATCAGGAATGGAACAGTATTGTCTTTAGTGACGAGTCTCGATTTTGTTTAGGCATGCACGATGGTCGTGCCAGGGTTAGAAGGCGACGTGGTGAAAGGAGGAATCCACAGTTTTTTGTTGAAAGACATGTTCATCACACTGTTGGAGTTATGGTTTGGGGTTCTATAGCTTATGGTTCCAGGTCACCTTTAATCTTCATCAGAGGTAACATGAACGCGCAGCGTTATATCCACGAAGTTCTAGAACCCCATCTTTTACCCTATCTTGACACCCTGGCAGATCCAACTTTCCAATAAGATAATGCCCGACCACATGTTGCAATAGTCACAAAATAGACTTCTTTCAACATAATTATGTCAAATTGTTACCATGGCCACCAAGATCTCCCGACTTATCCCCAATTGAGCACGTGTGGGATATGATGGGTAGGAGATTGCTCAATTTGCAACGTCCTCCTCAGACTCTAGAAGCACTTCGAGAGGAGTTGGTGGTTGCCTGGAATGAGATACCACAGGAGGACATTGACCACCTGAGCAGAAGCAGGCCTAGACGCGTTGGAGAATGCGTAGCAAATCAGGCTAGAATCCACACATTATTAAAGGTCAAAGGGCTTTAAAGCAGTGCAATCAATTTGAAATTTTTATCATTTACTTATTATGCTTCATTAAGTACTTATACAAAATTTTATTAAAATAAAACCATTTAAACTGGGTGTTCGGATTTATGTGTCACTTAGTATAGCTTCTCCTTTACATCCCACAACATCTTCAGGGATGTTATTATCGAATGACACGTATATCTTGATGGCGCCATTTTTTGAGTTACGCGATGTTAAAGCTTAAGCGACAATATGGGGTGCAATTTATTCATTTATACAGGGTGTCCAATAAGTACCACGACAAACTTAAGTAGAAGGTAGGCTTTGGACTGACCTCCAAAATAACAAAAACTTACCTATTTAAAAGTGGCACCGTTTTTAACATATTGAATTTTTTCTTAAATTTAAAAAACGAACCTTTTCATCTGTTGTTTTTAGCTGCATGTACAAATAAGGTTATACGTTGTTCACTTCTTCTATAAAACACTTCTAGATAGTTGCTTTATCATATACAAATGCAATGTATAGTAGTTAAAAAATATTAAGGAACCATGAACAAATAAGGACTTTGACAATCTGGGGTGAAACAAAAATGTACTGGGCTATAACTGCATTATATTAAATAAAAAGATTGCTCATTGAATACAGCTTTTAGAAAGGCACCAAACGTACTATTTGGAATAGAAAAAAGTGACAGCTGCTTTTGTGTGACTGACGTACAATACAATGTAATTATTGGATTTAAATTCAAGTTGCGCTGGTTACCGATCAGTGACATGCTAAACAGTACAAAACTACATTACTATTACCTGCTCCTGATATGATTTTATGAAACTTACTGAAATTCGGATCCGAGTCGTGGTACTTATTGGAAGAAAAACATATTTCCAACGACGTCTCCTTCAGGGGCTTGTTTCTCCGGAATAAAGAAATGTTTCGCAAATCGAGAGGATCAATAGTTATTTATTATACAAGGAAAAATCTAGTATTTTTCCCGTGTATAATACACATTTTTTTCTGTGATGGGAAAAACGATGATTTAATATTGAAAAATTATATTATTACAATATTTAAGTCAGAACCGACATGTCTTTGAATATGTATTACATACATACGTATTTGACAATCTTCGCTAATGTAGATCACGCAGGTTTGAACAGGTTATAACTTGTACGCGCCACCGCTATCGTGCTCGACGCGTAAGCATTGTTTTACTTAGTTTGAATTTGACTACTGGTGATAGCGGTACGGCCTAGCGTGCGTTCATTGTTTACTATTTATTCATTCTGTATTAAGTATAGTACCTAGTAATGTCATCACAAACTCAGAAGCGAAAGCACAAAACATTGACAATTAAAGAAAAATGTGATATTTTAGACCGCTTAAATCGCAATGAAACTTTCAGTAGTTTAGCAAGTGAATACGGCGTAGGCCGATCTACAATTTATGACATTAAAAGAAACCACGAGAAGATCAAGAAGTTCGTGTTAACTAATGACTGCGGGCCAGGCAAGAGTCAGACACTCAAGAAAGCTGAACATCCAGAAGTGGAAGACGCTTTGTACATGTGGTTTCTTCAGGAAAGAAATAGGTATGCACCAATTTCAGGACCCATGTTGGCCATGAAAGCTAAGTTTTTTATAAGGAAATAATAAAAAAAGATGATTTTGTGGCCAGAAAGGGATGGCTAGAACGTTTTAAAATACGTCATTGCATACGTTTAATGACTATTACAGGAGAGAAACTTTCTAACGATGCCACCTGCATAGAGCTCTTTAAATTAAGATTTTTGCAAAAGGTGAACAATTTAAATCTTGACCCGTCACAGGTCTACAATGCAGACGAATCAGGGTTTTTTTGGCGTGTGATGCCTAACAAAAATTTCGTTTCTTGTAACGAAAAATCCGTACCTGGACGAAAAGTAAGTAAAGAGCGTGTAACCATACTACCATGTGCTAACGCTGCGGGCACTCACGTGCTTAAGATGATGGTCATTGGGAAATCTAATAAACCACGCGCATTCAAAAACATTGCTTTACCTGTACACTATTACGGACAAAAAAGTGCATGGATGACAAAAGACCTTTTCAAAAAGTGGTTTGATGAATGCTTCGTACCTGAAGTTAGAAAATGGTTAAAAGATCATAATTTTCCTCAAAAAGCGTTGTTGCTTCTTGAGAACGCTCCCGGTCATCCGTCTGAACTAACAACTGAGGATAAATGCATCACTGCGATGTTTCTTCCGCCAAATTGCACTGCACTGATTCAACCAATGGACCAGAATATCATTCAGTTTGTCAAGCAAGACTATAAGAAAAATCTACTTCTGAGAGCCGTATCAAAAGACCAACCAATAGAAAAAACTTTAAAAAGAATTTAATATATATGAGACTTGGTTTTTGCTCTTTGTCAGTCGTGGAATGCGTTACCGTCATCAACTATTAAAAAAAAAGTTATGGCCAGATATAGTCACCACTCCTAGCAACGTTCCACAAATAAAAGTTACTTCGGAAGTTATAGAACAAGTCGCTACTGAAACACAGATAAGTCCGGAAGATTTGGAAATCTGGTGCCGTGGAATGGATAAAGAGGGAAATGTTTTTCATGAAATATCTGACGAAGAGATTATAAAAGAGGTTTCTAATTATACAACAAACAATCAGGAAAATAACGACGACGTGATTGCAACTGGTCCACAAGTCACATCACAAGACGCAATTAACGCCTTTGAGCTAGGTTTACAATGGGCTGAAGAGAATGGTATATCCTACAAAGAACTTACCTTAAATAAAAAAAAATTGATGAATGTTTCCAAGCTTCATAATTTGATAAATTCATTAATGATTTTGATTAATAATTTTCGATTATTTTGGTACATATGTATGTGCATTTATGCTTAATTTTATAATAAAACGTAAGCTCTCTATTGTTATTTAATTTACTAAATTCGACATACATGAACTATGTATGATTTGTACTTCAAAGTACATACATATACATAACATATATAATCTTACCATGGGATATGTAATCTGTCGGATTACAAGGTACTCTTTTGTAAAAAAGTCCGGACTCTAGGGGGTCTTAGGCAATGCTCTATAATCCGACAAATTCGATAGTCCGACACTGCCCTGCATAATGTTTGTCGGATTACCGGAGGTCCACTGTATAGCGACAATTAGACCTGCGCTGCGTTGCTAAGGAAGCTTTTAAATTATTCAAATAGCTGTCAATTTAATTTTGTGATTTGATTTAAAAATTGAGAACTTAGCGGTTGTTTAGAAGTTATCTTTAATACCATAAAGTAAAAAATGTCTGATTCCGAGTTTTCTTTGCCTCCACCGGAATTAGTAGCCAAAGTAGCGTCACAAAAATTATTGCCAGCTAAATCGCGGAAAATTTACGAAACCGCGTATTCAAGATTCATGGAATGGAAGATGAAAAAAGCATGCAGTTCTTTGTTTGAGCAGCAGCGTTGGCCGCAGTAGTAGACTCTTCGGTCTCCTGAGAAATTTTTCTTTTGTTTATGGATGTTGTGATTATCCGTAAGTGGTAGATGGTCTCTGACTGTCGAACGTGGAGGTGCCATCCGGCGGATCTCGTAGGCGGGGCCAAAATGAGTGCATGTTGCATGCACATGTGTTCCCTCGCCAGAGTCCGTGTGGCGTCCCCC